AAATAAACGAACCCGATCGAATGTTGATTGCGGGCCGGGGGGATCGACCGTTATCTGAAATCTCTCTGCTCGACATCGTCGGCTGTTCTAGTCGTTAATCGTCCGACAACCGATCGAGTTGTGTCCCGATCGAATCCCGCCTCGTTCCTTGATACATCGGGGGCTACCGAGGAGGAGGCTCCCCCTCCTCCCTCGTCGCTCAACGGGGAAGGAGGAGGGAGGGGGAGAGGAAAGGCTGAAACCGCTCCACACCGAGAGATAAACAAAGGTACAACGAAACCGTTTAATTACCGAGGACCGGAGATTAACTCTAATGGAACGACGGTGTTTCGTGGCCCGTATGGAAACGGCTCGCTGATTGGCCGCGTTATCCGGTCTGGCGCCTTTCAGACTGAGCAACTTTTCGGCTCTCCCTCCTTACAGGACGTGGCCTCTAAGATTTCAGAAGTCTCTTTAACGCCGATCCAATTGATCCTCGATATAGGTCGTTTTAAATTCGTGAGAGGCGTCGAAGATCGGTCGAAGATCGGATGTTATCATTCTTTCTCGGTGAGAAAAGCTTGGATAATTCTGAAAAAAAAGGATTGTAAGAAAAAAAAGTTGCTTCCATTCGACAGAAGCGAATTTCAAAAGTCTCTTTTACACCAATTCAGTTGATCCTCGATATAGGTTGTTGTGTTTTAAATTCGTCGAAGATCGGTCGAAGATCGGATGTTACTATTCTTTTTCGGTGAGAAAAGCTTGGATAATTCTGAAAAAAAAGGAGAGATTTGTAAGAAAAAAGTTGCTTCCATTCGACAGAAGCGAATTTCAAAAGTCTCTTTTACACCAATTCAGTTGATCCTCGATATAGGTTGTTGTGTTTTAAATTCGTCGAAGATCGGTCGAAGATCGGATGTTACCATTGTTTCTCGGTGAGAAAAGCTTGTATAATTCTAAAAAAAAAAAGGATTGTAAGAAAAAAAAGTTGCTTCCATTCGACAGAAGCGAATTTCAAAAGTTTCCTCGATATAGATCGTTGTGTTTTAAATTCGTTAGAGGCGTCGAAGATCGGTCGAAGATCGGATGTTACCATTCTTTCTCGGTGAGAAAAGCTTGAATAATTCTGAAAAAAAAAGAATTGTAAGAAAAAAAAGTTGCTTCCATTCGACAGAAGCGAATTTTAAAAGTCTCTTTAACGCCAATCCAGTTGATCCTCGATATCGATCATTTCGTCGTTTTAAATTCGTCGAAGATCGAATGTTACTAGTAAAGGATCGCTTTCGATGAATGAAATCGTTCTTTCGTAATCCTGAAAAAAAAAAAAAAAAGAAAAAAAAAGGGAGAATCGTAAAGTATTCGTGCGTAGGAGGGTAGAAAAAGCTTGGATGCGACAAAAGCGGATCTATCGACGTTGGCAACGGGTCGGCCATTTTGTGGTTCTCTAATAGACTTAGCGCTAGAAAACAGGCAGCCACGAGCCTCCCCTCGCCGAGCTAGCGCCGCGCCACGGACGAATCGAATTAACTTTATTACGTTTGTCTTCTGTTTTCCGCCCCAACAACCACCGGTCTCTTTCCACCCCCCACAGTTTCTCCCTCGTGCGCTCTCCGCCACACCTCTCTCCCGTGCCATTCAATCGAATAGACCTTGCGATCTCGTGACTTTTACTTTTTACTACCTGAAAAAAAAAAAAAACCAATAACTTTGATTTTACAATCCTTCTTTCCCTCGTTATTGGTTACAATATTTGCAAATTACTCGAAGCGGATTAATCGTTCTCCCTTCCGTCTCGAATAAAGAGAGCACGGTGGTTGATCTTCGATCCTCTTTCCATCTGTTTCCAGGAGGCAAACGGCGGAGGAGAGAGAGGCTGAGAGGCAGGCGGCGAATCGGTTGATGCTGTCTCTTCAAGCCGAGGCCCTCGGCAAAGTGGCGTACCCGACGACAGTGGCCAGCCATCCAGCGGGAACCACGGTTCCAAGTCTAGACAGGCAGCAACCACCCACCGCCCTCGCCCATCCTGTGGGTCAATGGGCCTCACCTTACGGCCCGCCGCAACCTCTCGCCGAACCGCTTTGTTGAACGATTC